CGAAAATACAGAGAGGTTCAAAAGCGCCTTACAGAATCTGTGCCAGATTTAACGATGTATCCACCCAAATACAAAAACCCAGAAGAAGAAAAACTTTTGAAGTTGAGTAGCACTCGCCCCGTGCTCGCCATAAATGGAAGTGTTTTTTCTTTTTTGCACTACTCTCGGTTGGATTTTTTTTGTTTTGAGGTCTTGGTTGGCTTCTCTGGCATCGATAGCGCTAATGTCTAGTCAATTCAGATTTCATAATCGACCGTCTCCCACACTGGGAATTTCAATTGCTGCCCGAGCTACCAACTGCTTCTTCACTTCCGACAGGAGCATCTGGTTCTTCATCAAGGATCTCCATCATGAATAGCGCCGACTCATTTCCCATCACAACCCTTGTATACAAAGAACACGTGGTTTACAGGTTTGGTTTGATAGGATATGAGATTAACATAAATTTCAATGGCACAAATCTACCAAAAAAGGATGCCGCATAGCTCTCAAGAACAATCTCTATACTAGATGTCAAAATTTATATATGCAGCTTTTTTCGACAAATGACGCTTTATTAACTGAAAATGTAGCATCAGGTGGATATAAAGCAAGATGAGCAACACCCGTTCTGTCCATAGCTAACATGCAAATAACAAAACACCAATAGTCTGACAAATGAAAAAAGAAGATAAATAACCGTAAAGTCAAATGCTCTTAGGCAGTCAAAAGCCAACATGAACAAGGTACTGCCTATCACACTACTAAGTGGCCTTGTATAAATAGACAGAGGGAGTATTGATTAGCTTCCTAACGCCGTCAGACATGTGAGACCATTAGCACCTCCAGGACCGCCAATGCTAAGTTGTCGCTTGTACCTGGGCGATATGAAGCAGTAGCTTACTCAATCAGTGTGTTTTACACCATAATAATAATTATTATGCAAACCGATATACACCCTCTATTTCAAATATATAAGTAGTAGTACTAAGATAAAACAAAGCTTTGACCACTTATTACTCCAACAAACGAGATAACTGTAGGAAAGAGGCTGTGTGTAAATGAAAACTCCCAAAAAAAGAAACAAAGAAAACAACGAGAGAGTAAGAATTGGACGCCACATGCCTCCACCTCTGGCTATGAAAATCGAGCAACATGCTAGAGTTTCTCTTAATTTCGGCATTACATTTTGTCGACTTCTAATGACTGGAGATACAAAAACCCTTCGACCAAGGTGACTTTCCCCAAGCCGTGCACCTATCCAGACTTGTTGAGCAGCATCTACAACGTGAGATGGCAATCCAATGATTTCAAATATGATGCTTGACACGTTATTCACAAGTGAGCTGTGAGAAGTGCGTTGCTATGCTTGCTAGAGAAATAATTGCACAGAAGAAAAGCTCACAAGAAATAATATTAATCGACAACAGCCTTTAGTCCCAAACAAGTTGGGGTGGGCTAGAGGTGAAACCCATAAGACCTCGCGACCAACTCATGGCTCTGGCACATGGATAGTAAGCTTCCACGCACACCTGTCCATAGCTAGTTCGATACTCTAATCCTCCAGGTCTGTCTTAACAGACTCCCCCATGTCAAATTTGGTCTATCCCGACCTCTCTTGACATGGCAAATTTGTAAAGTTCAAATGGAGTCTAGGATGGTCAGTTCAGCAACCCAACAGCTTGAAGTCCATGGAGAGGTCAGCTGCTAAGACTGTGACTACCCCGCTAGCTACTCCGGTGTAGCCCAATTCTACAATGTAGAAGTCCACAAGGGGTGTGCGTATGTTTCATAAGAGCATGATAGGCAATTACCTGAAATTTGTGCCCCACAAATGAATAGCACCATCTCTTGTGCCTATAATTAAAACTGGAAGACTGGGATGGGAAACAACAGAAATAACCGAAGACTTGAATTCTCCAAATGTTTGGACACATGTTTTTGTCTGCATGTCCCATATCTGATTTGAAAAGGAAATGCATTATCAGCAATTCATATATGGGCGTACTACATTAAATTATGTTTCAGTGAAATAGCTGACCTTCGCAAACTTATCACTAGAGCCAGTAATCAAATACTGTTGATTATCATCAGTTGTGAAGAAATCTACACAATTCACTTTGTCCGAATGCCCAGCCAGAATATATTTAGGCTTGGGTGAATCGAGACTCCAAAGCTGAACACCAAGTATACAAGTTTGAATCAACATCCAGTAAAAATAAACATGTCTTCCTATTCTTGAATAAAGGATAGAAGAAATATGACATGAGAGGGAACAAACCTTTGCTGTCAGATCGGGTGAAACACTAGCAAATTCGTTGGTGTCCTTTGGGTTAAATGCAAGTTGCAATTCCATCCCAAAATAGGATAATTTCTTAAATGTTTTGATGCACTCCCAGTTCTTGTCCCAGTCCCAAAGCTGTATGTACCCACTACATGATGACAACACATACGGTTGGGTTGGATGAACGGCCAGTGAGTTGATTCCTAATAAGTATCTCTTAACACGAAAACTCCTGATTATCTGCACCTCCGGTTTATAGCTATACACATAGATTTTGCCACTCCCAGGCCCTAGCCCAACAATAAACCATTGCTTTCGTTCAATAAATTTAATAGTAGTAACTGCAGCGAGAATGATAATCTTATTAGCATATCAGTTTATATACAATGGATGTATCTTATGTTGCAAAAAAAGTAGAGAGCATGCCTTCGAGGGGAACATCTTTGATTTTAACCAGACACATTGACTTCTGCCAGGAAATACAGTTGAATTATTTGTTAGTCCAATGCAAACAGAGGCAATATACATTTGTGAATACAAACTCAACTTCATAGAACGGCCCTTTACGTTTTCCCATGGCCATTTAAAATGGCGCGATTGGCCATCACAGCATAACAACTAACAATGCTCCTTGATAAATCATATCCACATGAATCGAATGAACGCCTAATAGATGTGTGCCGCAACCATATATACCTTGTGTCCACCTAGAAAATGTACTTCCTCCTGGGTTTGTTCCTAACTCATCACGTAAGCGAGAGAGGGAGGGGAGGGTGTGGAACCCTCTTGGGCATTGTACATTTTCAGAAGATGGTGGGGGTCCAAGGGTCACCCCTTATGGAAACATGCAGAAAAAGACAAGCGTTATACTTCCTCTGTAAACTAATATAAGACCTTTTATATCAGCTCTAAAAGGTCTTATATTAGTTTACAGAGGAAGTATAATTTAGCTGAGTTTTGTGATATCTTGGCCAAAAATTTAATCCTGCTAAGTCACAGTCTAGGTAATTTAGGCACTGCACGACATAAAATAAGAGAGAAGTCTAAATTACAACCCTGAATTGTCATCAATGTCTAAGATACAACCAGAACTTCAAAATTGTCTACATTACAGCCTCAACTTCCAAAATCGAACAAAAACCAGACCTGAACTTGTTTGAACACAATTTTGATTGGTTTTGGCCATTGACCCGCTAGTCAGCATCCCAGTCACCCCGCCACGTCACCCACCCATATGCATTTTCATTCTAATTTTTCTAGCTGTTTGGCAAAACGTTTTGAAACTTTCCCAGATTGAATACAAGGGTATTGTTCACTTTTGAGAATTTTTATTTTTTCTGGAAACTTCCATTTTTGGCAAAAAAAATTGACCCAAAATGGCCCTTAATGTGTATTTTCCTTCTAATGTTTTATCTGTTTGGATAAACGTTTTAAAACTTCCCCAGATTGACTACAAGGCTAGTTGTCATTTTTTAGAATCTTGTCAATATTTGTGTACTTCTGCATCTGAAGATGCACACGACCCAAATTATTGCATAGTAACTATAAGAATACATTAATTTACCTGCATTATATAATCACATATATCAATATATCCCTTATCATGACCTGTTGCAATCCTGCATGATGGGAGAAAAGGCAAGCCAAGATATTCACGTTCAATTAATTGGCTCATGTAAAAATAGACGTTTGAATATTACAGGGACCGTCTATTTCTAAGTTGACAAAGATATCCTTTAGTAAGTTTACACTCTTGACATTTCTTTTCTTTATATTGCATAAACTAGATAGCCACAAAATTTTGTAATTATCCAACTTCAGTTCTTCTTTTTTTTACGGGGAATCCAACTTCAGTTCTACAAATATGCAATTTGATAGTTAAACATTTCAACAACTTTAAAAATAAGTTTTCATGCAATTCTCGATTTCATAATATGCAATTCGGTTGACTTAAAAATAAGGATTTCTTAGACAACAGAAGATAACAAACTGAATATTATAATTCCCATAATATACGCCTGGCACGCACCATGACTCTGTCTGATTTATGTCTAGCGAAATCATGCGCTCCTTAGGGACCTCCCTAGATATGATCTGATTAAAAAAAATCTAGTCAACATTTTAGAAACCAAATCAACCTTAAAACATACATTGGATGAGAACAAAAGTTCATACCTGTGTTAAAGTTGGGATTGCCTGCTGCATGGATGGTAAGTGCAAGAGAAACAAAGGGAATCAATTAGTGGACATTGACTCATCGTTGAAGCAAGATCGTGTCAAAAAGTTAACTCGCATATCTTTGCTACCTTACTCATCGGACCATGGAAGAAACAAAAAACAATGGGAAGTAATCAGAGGATATATTTATGTGCCATTGGTTCCATCCTTTTATTTCTGCAGCATGTATTCAGTGTTTAATCTTTCTTTCCAACAGCCTACAGACTTGTTCTCATCTGCTAATCCATATGCTTTGTTGTTCAGTTTACGCGCATTGTCACTTCACTTCATTTTTACTTCATTCAAATAACATTTTGTTACATAACATTCGTGCTGCAGTGTGAAGGGTACCATCATGTCTTTCTTGATTACTCAGTCCGAAAACAGCAGTCCTTTAGAAAAAAACCACTCAGTTTTTATTATTATCTGGTTTTAGTAAAATCACACAAAAAGATCAATTATCTTAAGACCGGTTATTAAGTTGACAAAGGCTTACAAGTTCGATTTCATTATCAATGAGCTTACTGCAATGGTTGTGCCCCTTGCTGATTGTGGCTTACTGGATGCCTTCGCTGCCCACCACTTTACTATCTCATTGATATTGTTTGATTCAGGCAAAGGCATCAGTGGCATACCCTTTAAAGATTTCACATTGGCCACCACTTTACTATCTGTCTCTTTGTTTAAGATGTCATTAGTGATACTCCGGTTCTGGGATGTGAGATCGTTACTTACAGTAGTGTTCAGAACCTGCAGCCTGTCCTTGCACTGTATGTCCGACTGCAGCTCGTTATCGGCCACCATCTGCTCATACATTATACATATACACACCAAAGTACACAGCTGGTTAAAATTTTGAACTAATAAATCTAAGACTCACAGAATTAAGTTTCTCTTTGTTGATTATTGCTTCATAAATCTTGGACTTCAGTTTCATATAATAAAAAGGATAAGAAGCATAAGACAATTTGATTTACATATCACATGACTGTTGTAGTGTAAATAGTTTTATGATGCTAAAATCAGCACCATAAAATATGGAGTTATGTAATATTATTTAGGCATATTATGTTCCTCCATAAACATTTAAACTGTGAGTTATGACATGATATGTTGACGATATGTGAGTGTGTGATCGTACCTTGTCTAATCCATTAAGCATTTCGAGTATATCCTTTGCAGTAGGTCTTTTCTCCATGCTAGGGTCCACACATTCAAGGGCTATACCAATACATTGTCTTACTTGTCGGATAGATCTTTCTGTTGATTTATTGTCTGGTGTGGATATGAGTTTGTTCGTCCAGCTAAGGAGCACCTATGGATTTGCAATAGTGAGCTCAAGGATGGTCCACACGCAAAGGTAGATTAATTCAACTTACTTTGTCTGTGAACTGCTGGAGTGATGCTGCAGTCCTGTGCGGATTATCTTGCTGGAAATATGGATAGTCCCTATGACCTGTAATTATCTCTATGACTATGACACCCATACTGAAGATATCTGCCTTCTTTGAGACTAAACCTCGGATTAAGTATTCTGGCGCCATATATCCACTGCAACAGTATAAGGTAAGGAGTGCAAACATAAAAAAATAATAGATGTAAAGTAGCTGAGGAAAAGAAAAAAAATTACAGACGCAAGACCCGTAGCTAACCATGTTCCAGTACGATTATCAGTGATAATTCGTGATTGTTGCTCTCCAAAGATCCTTGATAAACCAAAATCCGCGATTTTTGGTGTCATGGTAGAGTCCATCAATATATTTTCTGGCTTTAGGTCCAGATGGATGATATGGCATTCATCATGAAGGAAATGCATACCAGTGCAAATCCCCTTGATTATGTCGTATCTCATATTCCACTCAAGGCCCAAAGATTCATCTGTAGAAATTAAGAAAAGAAAAGATTTTTAAACTCATTCAGCGATCACACTTGTGGTACTGTAATGAGCATGCATTTTTGGGAGGCATGTAGCACGAGTCACCATCACCTAAGTTTAAGTACTCTCCAATTTATAATTTGAGTGCTTGCTCCTTCCAGTAAAAAAGATGACTATATAGTTTTCTGTAAAAAGGGGAACCTAGTTTCTACAAGCTATTCGCCTTGCTACATTACTGTGCATGCACGGGCGTGCATGTGTGTGTATGCGCAGGCGCCATAACAGTAATAACTTTGTGGGTGGTACCAAATGATATATTGTTTCTGTTAAACAACATATTGTCACGCTACATATGTTGTCACGTTCCATATAGGCTTCGGTGAGAGGTTAGCGCAGAGATAGAGATAGACAGGTTTCTGTTTAACCAATGTAATCTCCTGATCCTTTCTTCTCTCTCAAGATGTAAACCTCCTGTAACCGAACTCCTTTGTACGCAATCAGGGTTTAGCCCCTGCCCTATATCAATACGCAGGCTCGGTCTCAACAGGCACGACGCTTCATACAAAGCTTACATGGTATACAGAGCCTCCTCTTCCCATCTCATCTAGCCACCACGCCTTCCGCCCTCGCTCCTGCCATGTCGTCCTCCTCCGGTGCTTCCTCTGCCGGCCTAAGTGGTCAGGTCACTGAGAAGCTTACTCGCACCAACTATGTGCTATGGCGTACCCAGGTGACGCCGCAGCTGAGAGGTGCTGGGGTCTTCGACTATGTCGATGGATCCGCGCCGGAGCCCGTCAAGTTCCTGGTCACCACGGACAAGGACGGGAAAGCACACTCTGCGCCTAACCCCCTTCATTAGAGTTGGGTTAGAGAAGGTCAGCAGGTACTTGGATATCTGTTGAATAACCTCTCAAACGAAGTTCTCGTGCAGGTTACATCCATCACCACGCCGCACGAGCTCTGTGCTACACTGTCGAACATGTTTTCGTCGCAGTCCCGATCACGGATCAACAACATCCGGATCACCCTCTCCAACGCGCAGAAGGGAACTCAAACGGTGGAGGCCTACTTAGCTCACATGCGCTCGCTCGCAGATGAGCTCACCGCCGCTGGGAAGCCCCTGGATGATGACGAGCCGATCTCCTACATCACCGGCGGCCTCGACATGGACTACCAGCCGCTCGTGTCCGCTCTCTACGCGCGCCCTGCTTCTGAACCAGTAACCCTTGATGATATTTTTACCCAGATGAGCAATTTTGATTAGAGGGTTACCCTCTTCCACGGCACAAGCTCGGGTGGGGGATTCAAGTCCTCTGCAAACGCTG